GACGTCATTTTATACCTAAGGACCCTTTCAACTAACACTTTCTCAAAAGTAATCGTTGGCGAAATACAAAAACAATTCAGAAGACAATAATAATGAAACACTAGGAAAAGTTGGAACACGATTAAAATGAAATAAATTTCCACAAGAGAAATAGAAAAAAGAAAGTCGAAGTCTCTCGATCAATCGTAAGGAGCGCATAAAATGCTCCTTTTGTTTACATAGGCTCGGCTGGTGAAATTTTATATACACAGCTTCAAGAACTTGGAGATGGTAAACTGGGCGAGCACTTTTCCATTCTCTTGTCCATTCTTGTGTACCTTAGGCAGTCCATACATTCTAGGACGTTGAGACCCTGTAGGTCTAACCTTGTTATAGATGTCCTTAGAGATAAGGTTACTCTTGTATGCAAAGAGCAACCATCTCTGTGTTCTCGTTTCAACCTTGTTGATAGTCACACGTACCAACAGGATCGATCATCTTAATCTTTGAAGAATCACTTAAAATATTGATCATTTTATCCAAATAATCTTGTTTGTTTAAGATGACAACGCCAGAACCTTTATCAGGCTTAGTGATATAGACATCGTCCTCTAACTTTAATGCATTTATTGTCCGAAAATGAACGCATTGTCAAGCAAGAAAATCTCGCTCAGCAGTAAGAGAAACATTCATTAGACAATTCAAGAAGTCTAGCCTTAGTAGCAGAACACTTATCAGAAGAAGAAAGAACATGATTAATTAATTGAGGATCTCAAACTCATTGCAAATCTGTTCCTTACAAATTGTAGAAGGTGGAATGCAAAAATACAAATCTTGAGAGAGAGAGAGAGCTAAAAATTCAATCTCAATCAGAATGGCGTTGGAATAATTAAAGATATCTTTATTAAAATTACGATTGTCAACTCCAAAACTTCTAGAAACGAGGCTGTTTAAATATTAGTCATTCTCTCCAACTGATTTTTCCAGACGTAATTTGTTACTGGCCAAATAACGAGTGAAATATATCTTCGTCTGCCGAAATAGTCTATTCCCCATATGAGGTAATTTTGGATTTTATTGTTTATTAATTATATTGCTCTGTAATAAATATATTGAACTTTTTGTCGATCAGTTTTAATATTTTATATTACGAGGATCCACTTCGATTATATACCAACGTATTCATTACCTTTACTAAACACACACACACACACACACACACACACACACACACACACACACACACACACACACACACACATATATATAATATGAGGGAAAGGGCCTCTCCATTGTCTTTGCATTACACAGAATTATATTTCACTAGAATTTATTTACAGCGAGTTGCAATAATCACAGCATTTAATACTGTTGCAATTTAAGTTATCGCTAATTTTTTTCCCGAGATTCACAAATTATACGTTTCGTTCAATTTCGCAAAGCAATCGATAAAATTTGAATAAGCTGATTTATTTGGAAAATGCTTTCTTTAAATAATAAAAAATAATTTAATAAAATAATAATTTAATTTTATAGGACTTCATGGGAAACAATATTTTTTAAGAAAATTTCTTTTTTCCTTGTTATCAGCGAAAAATAAATTCTTAGGTTTTCTTACTCTTGAGCATGCAACATTCAACTGGCCATACGTAAATATTTCTTTCTGGAGTCAAATTCCAACTTTTTGAAGCGTTTGGCCTTGTCATTTGTTCATAGTTCTCGCAAACGCAGGACGAATTGAAAACTGGATCCTTGTATATATAAAACTTAAAAGATGTAAAAAACAATATTGCATTTTTATTAAAAAAGTATTTGTTATTTTAATCTTTAAATTGTTTTAAAAATAATGTGAGTATTTTGTATGTTAAATAATAATTTTTAAAAAAATTTTCTTGCCAAAATCAATGAAAATTTATATATATATACATTCCAAGTATAGGATTGGTGCATACGGAATAAATTCCAATAACTAAAAATACTATTCTTAAAAGAGTGCTCAATAGAGAGTAGAGCAAATATAATTATTTATTCGAAAATTATAACATAAATATGTTATAAAATCACTGCAAAAATAGCCATTTTGTTTCAAACACTTCTGGCAAACACTGGTAGACCAAAGTGAACAGATCTTAAGATATGAAGGGATAATAGTCTATAAGTGTTGAAACAAAATTGGCTATTTTTGTAGTGATTTTATAACATTTTATGTTATAATTTTCGAATAATTATATATATATATATATATATATATATATATATATATATATATATATATATATATCACTTTAAACTTTTTATATATCTATCACTTTAATTTTATTAGTGGATACTTGTATTTTATTAGACGCTCCGTTTATTTATTAAACAGTATATTTATTTATTTTCGTCTACCGGCCTAAAAGAAAAAAAACGTCTCTCTTTTGTAGCTGAGTTGGTCAGAGTGTATCGGCATTTAACGATAGCTCTTTCTGCCCAGACGGACGCAGGTTCGAATCCTGCCAGAGATCGTACATTTAACTAA